TAGCAGGATGTTATAAAATAAAAGTAGGGTGTTACCTATACATTCGGCAGCATAGAAGGCCAATTGGTAAAATGAAAGCAAATAATGCAAACGGATACAAGGGCGTGAAATCACTTTGACAACACGACCATACGCATTTCGTGTGATCATTGTTCAAAAAGCATGCTGAAATCGTTCCAAGAGCCGGAAATAAAGTACAATCTCAAATACACGTCGCAAAAAAGGCAGGCTCATGGCCTGAAAGCAACTAAAGCCCAAGCGAATGCACAGATCCGCCCAAGAAAAAAGCCACTTGCATGTTGGTGCACTAGTAGACACTGAAAAAAAATCCTAACGTCACTTCAATACCACCACAAGAATGAAGGGAAACGCCAGCCTTGACTCACGCGTTGTAGTTGCCGGTGGTCTGTTTACACAGCTGAGCGTAGAGCTCGTCGCGGACGCCTGGGGTGGAGAGAGCACGTTGGACGATAATGGAGGCGAGGTCAGGTTTGCTTAGCTTTGCGCTGCGGTCACCCATAAAGGACTGGATCACTGTCGGACCGACGAAGAGGAGAGTGCGTTAGTGAATGGTCATAATCAATGTCTGTCCGAAAATACACAAAGTTTGCGAACAAGTGTCTATGGGCTTACACTAAAGTCACTCAGTCATTTGCTTAAGGACCCACCCGGCAGGCACTGTGCGGACATTGGCAGATCGAACAGCCAAACTCACTTTCCCTAAAAAGTCTTGGCTCCCCCTTTATGTCCCTTCTTCTTCCTTTAGCGAATTAATTTCAGGGGTTTATATACATCTCTTATGATGGTAATTGCAGACGGATGGGCGTCCGAAGACCTCAGAACTTCCCAACTTCTTAATCAGCGCCTAGATTAACCTACAAGGAAGAAATCCACCCTATATTTGCACTCGTAATACACCTTTGTCCTACAATACTCAGTAAATCGCAGAATCCCATTTTTCGTGAATTTACTTTATAAGCTCTGAAGGGAATCTCATCCCAGGGTGACGACTTATAGGAAATGGGAAGGAGAGGCGACTTGTCAGATAGTTGTAAAAAAACACTGAGACCACCGACTGCTTTACCCTTCATCTTCACTACTTTTAGGGGAAAAAAAATATAAAATTGCTGAACTTTCCTACATGTACGTAGCAGTAGTTTTAAAAGAAACGTTTTTAGCGTACATTAGCCTTCATTTATTAAGGTTATAGCCCACATTTACAAATTTACAGCATCAATTTCTGCACAACTTCAGTTGATGTTTCGTGAAATATTCTTATGAAATGAGGAATAAAACTGTAAAGAGAAGTAGTGCCCAGACAAAAAGGATGGAGTAAGAAAAGGGGGCATTTATTTTCAGCTAAAGGCCAGCAAACGCATTTGACTACATTCCGATTAAAAACGCGAAGTAAAGTATAAATCTTAGCTAGCTTTCAACGCAATACTTACGTTGGAACAAAAGGTTAATTTTTATGAACTCGTATTCGCAATCGGGTTGTACCTCCATAAAACTAAGCTGTATGAAAAAAACACGTAGTCTACAAATGGCATCGGGTAACGATAAACGAACTAAAAGACCCCACAAAAGTATTTAAAAAGAACCACGGAGTTGATATAAGACAACGTAAGATAAATCCTAGCACACAGCGCGCAGAATTGCCAAATGGAATCTCGCAGACAAGTAGGAGAAGCAGATATCTTTTTTGGGTCTTATCCAAACGTCAACAATATGTGGACCAAGTAGGCTACAAATAATAGTCAAGATAACCTTGTAACGAAAACAAGCCAAACTAGGGAGATATTTTTAAATCAAAAGATGATAAAATCCTGGTTGTACTCTCTCCGAGCACCACACTTCCACCTTGATGACATGGCCCTCCAGCCAAAAGGTGTATGTCTAACTTCCACTCAATGAATGCAATCCAAAGTTGACAACACATCGGTCAGGGTATTTTTTTGGGGGGGAAACTACAACATCCTTTGCACAGCACTCACACCTTCTAAAGATCAGTAGCACAAATCCGATTTAAATTCGGATCCGAATACTATCCATCGACTTTGCAGGACGAAAGGAACCCGAATGATGGAGCTACTACAGGCGCTAGATGTCTGTATACTAAATTTACAATTACCTTACTGTCAGATTCAACGAAGTCCCTGAGCACTTTAAAAACTGAACTCTTCTATGGGTTTATGCACAAACTAAACACGTATAGCAGATTATGGAAAGTAATTCTCGATTCCGCAAACATCTTTACCAAACACAAAAAACCAGTCACCATAAGTCTAGCGTGCAAACGAAAAAGAGGGTTAGAAAAAAGGGATTTTACAGGGAAGTGTCGTCCACTGTCAGTATCGCTGAAAACAATATTTTTTAAACTGTTAGCGAAAGTGGGAAGCAGCATTAAGGTTTACCTGACAAACACAGCTATGGACAAAAAAGACGTAGATTTCACCGTATACTTAGGGAGCGATAAGACTGACCAGTCGGAGAAGAGTACAAGACCGAATGCTAGCTGCAAAATCTCAGAGAGGAACCTTAGAGAAAAAGGTAGATGCAAGCCGTATGAGGCCAAATTAGGGTACCAACTAAGCCCAATCTGACGCCATGAAAGTTATACCCCAAACTCAATCGAGGTAAACGATTGGAATTCGGTACATGATGCTCAACGATTGAGGCTTCACTTCTCAATCCACTAAATTATTTTTGCCTTTAAAATCCAGGTTTTTCATGTAAAATATCACCTTAAATATGTAACTACCGAGTAGAAATAAACAGACACGATTTTGCCACTAGACACATAAAGTTGCATTGCATCATAAATAAATGATTATGAAATAAGGATAATCAATCTTCACACAGTAACTCTTGAAGAGATTTGTTGGTAGCTCTATCTATCAATAGACTCGAATCCTAATTATCGTCTCATTCCGAGTCTAACAAAAAATATTAATGTTACAGCTCACAATAAATATGATTGTCTCTGAGAATTTCCTATCCCCGAGAGGGGCAATTCGCGCTTGAATTAAGGTAGGGAAGTTCCCCAAACGAACCTTCAATGACAGCTGAACACTGTCTGGGACGGAAATGATGATCAGATTCTGGGGCTTGACATACAACATCGTTGCTGATGTGAAAACTTCCGCAGGATGGTAAATTAACAATTTAAGAGAACCTAAAATCTACAGGACTTTTTATTCTATGGATTTTTGTGCAGGCTTCAAGATATCTACTATATTTCTATGCAATTATTATCGCCAATTCTAAAATAAAGTTTTTAAGAAAAAATATGACCACCCAGATCACCTATTGCGGTAAATGAAACAGGCAGATATGCACACAGAGATTAGGGGAGTAACTCACATTTGAAGTTCTCCGATATATGCTTTTGTAAACTCTTATCTGTCGCCGCTAGCAGCCGTTTAGAGAATGCGACCTGCGAATAGAAAAAATGGATGAAAAAAGATAACCCTGCCGTCTAAGAGAAAATGGTCCATATTTTACGGAGCACACACCTTTGTCCAACTCATAAGCGCAGTGCAGTCCTGGCCCTGCCTGAGAAGGTTTTTGGGCCACAAATAGGGTCCCGAGATCAGCGCAAAATGTGTACTTCCCGAGCATGCGATGGTAGCAGAAGTGCTGACGACGCTGGTCGGCTGATCGAAAGACGGCCTGGCAGCGGTGGCGGTAGCAGAGGAAGAGGACAGCGAGGCGACCTCCGAATCGGCGGGACCGATGAAACCCCCCGAAGCGGAGCGGCGCGGGTGGAGGGGGGCAGCACTGGTCGAGAAAGGTGAGTGGGTGGATCCTGTTGTACCCCCTCCTGCACCTTCGTGGGCGGATGAGGACGCGGAGAGGAGGGAACGTGTAGAGGTATGGATAAGACCTGAATCCTCCGGGGTATCGTCTAAAGAAGGTGGCAGAAAGTAAATTCATGGTTTCATTTCAGTGGTTTAAATAAACCCGGATACTTTGAAAAAAATGGTGAAAACCATCACACTTTATTCAGCAAACAGTTTGCCAGTCCATCTAACCACCCGTTTATAATGAAAAGATTCATTCATCAATTCATCTAACCGTCAATACATCCATTCAACCAACTGACTATTCCGTCATCCGATCCCTAGTCCATTCGGGTATCTATTAGATTATTTATTTATAAACTTATTGGTTCATACATCCATCCAGCTATTCGTCGAACCATAAATACATTCAGTGAGCCGTTTACCTATCTAACTATTCTATAATTGATCCTTACATCTAGCCATTGATTCACCCACACATCAAATAGCTGATGTGGATAATAACTCATCCAAAAGAACGACTACTTTTGTCCTTCAAACGATAAGAGAGGGCAGTTTCATGGACTCTTAATTGCAAGTGACGGACAAACTTCCACACAATGGAAAAGCCTGGTGATTACAAAGGTACTGGCAACGGGTCGATCAAAAGCACAATAAGGGTCCATTCTTCAAACCATCTCCCGCCTATGTCAAAGCAACAACTTCTAGCATTCATGCGCTTTTAACAATTCTTTAAATCTTCAAATTTCCACTTTCTCCTTTAGGAAACAAATATTACAAAATAAACTTCGCCATGGTGTATTTTAGACTAAAATGTTACAGGTTCAGAAAATGCTACATTCATCACATCTGAGCTAGAATTATAAACAAAGTTGGAAATGAAAAAAGAACAAATTCCCAATGTCTATTTACGCTAAAAAGTAGATCATTTCCACACACGCATACAAAACCATTTTATAACTAAGAAACTAGCCCGTTCGGTGATCCAGCCTTTTTGACTTACTAATCAGTAATGTCCGCAGTCTTTTTTCACTGATGCATCAATGACATCGTCAACCCATGAATCTGGTAAACAATTCATAAAGTACATTTAACTTGTAAGCAACAAATACAAATAAGAAGCAAAGATGGAAAGTTGGTGGAAGGTATTGCTGAAATAGCACTCTTGTTTGACCTCACATAGACAATTGAATCAAATGGCTCATTGACCAGTAAGGCCAGATTTTAGAGTGAAACGTAGTTGCTAGTCTATCCAGGTACTTACGTGACATCGTGTGTGTGAATAGCTGTCTGACTACCTGTCTAGGAGGCGAGCCGAGGGATGCGGAGAATACGAAATGTAATGACCGCTCTCCCTCTCTTACCCTTTTTACTCCAGGTCTAATAAGCCTGCCTGCGGTGCCCGTAAAAATAAGTATCTCAAAAAACAGATTCATTATAAAAAACATTTACCGTAATAAAATGAGGAACCTGAAATGATTGTGAAAAATAACCCGGTCTAAGTGTCACCGTTTAGGTTACAGAAAAATTTCCCTAACCAAACTAGTCTGGGACTTTTAATCCAAGTTGACTACTGCTAAACAAAAAATTTTATGCTGCAAATGCTGTTACCCGGTAGATTTTATCAATGAAATTGGCTTAATTTACACCAACTTATTTACGTCAGAATATTTCTTGGTTTTGTAACTTGAAGCAGAACCATCAGATCGAATAAATGGTTTCGAAATAGGCATATATTCGTGCACAAAAAGTGGGGTGTTGAGTAAACAGGTGATCCTTGCATGTCCGTTCAGAGATGAGCACGATATCGACATTGTTGTGAAATGGCAAATCCTGAACAGCTTACTAGAGATAGACCATCAATTAGCTAAGTGAACATCCGAAAAGGCTGTAAACTGAACGTTCAAAAGTACCCTTAGAGGAACCAGTTTAATTTCCTCGTAAAATTCCACCAAAAAAACGAATAGTTACAGTTTTTGGATGAGGACAGCTTAACAACTAAGACCACATAGAATGAAGTAGCTGGATGCTTTGACAAATGGAAATCAAATAGAAAACTCTTTAATAAACTGTGCTGAAATCAAGAATGGCACTTGCGAAATCAGAAACATCGGATGTAACGAAAGATTACTGGTTTTAGCAAAGCGCTCTGGACTCTAACCTACATCACATGGGAAACATTAACTGATCAAAACGGTAAGTAAAAGACATCGTAAATGAATCGTCAAATTTGACAACCACTGCTTCCTGGGGATTGGAAAATACTAAGCGACTTCTGAAAAGGGTTTACAAGGAAGAAGGCCAACACATAAGACCCAGCAAAAAGAAAATTCCAATACATCTCGATAAGCAACAAGCTAAAGTGGATCCTAGTGAATTATCCGCTCGCGTAAACAAAGGATACGCATTACCATAGAGCACTCACAATATTCAGGACTTCACTAGATAAGTTAACTAATCAAATAAGACAAATGTTCCCACGAATGAACTGAGAAAGAACCGATAAGGGTTACTTCTTGAAAAGTAAACCACCATCTTTCTGAACGGCTCTAAAAAGCAAAATAACGACTGATTGAGGCCAGTAACTGTGACCCAAACTGATATAAAATCGGTGAAATATGCCTCATGGAGACTAAAGAATACCAACAAGCTCCTAAATGGACGAAAACGAACGACCAATGAGAGCTATTCAAGAACAGAGGAAGTTATGTGCGTGGAACTGGTGAGTAAAAATAACAGCCCATCAAGCAAATCTTGCTTCAATAGGACGCTCACAACACCCCGAAACCTGACCCAGGCACATTAGCTGGTCACAGCTGCATGACAGATAGGAACATAAAAAGATTGCTAAAAATTAATAGTTAATGCTTCCTGGGGTAGAGGAAAAGCGGTTAATATCAAGGACGGTAGCACGAGAAAGGAAAGAGGTTAATGAAGACCCGTAACAGTCGAGAGGCAGTAAACGGGCAAGCTTCGTCACTTAGTCAGTGCTGCGTTCAGTTCAAAAGAAACGCTGAGACTACGGCTTCATTAGAAGGCGTGGAGCGAGCAAGCGAACGAGCCTCGTCATCGCACCCATTGCCACCGCCGACCAACATCATTAAACCGCAAGTGACTCACTCCTCGTCCATCCTACCCCACCCCTTGCCTCTCAGCAATCCCCTAACTGATCCATTCCCAACGCAAAAGTAGCAGCAGAAGCAATGATGGTAGAGGCAAGTGCCTTATGTCTGTTGATAAATAACAGCTTGTTGCTGTCAATGGTTCAAGACTCCAAAAAAAATTTCCTTGGTTCAGTTCAGCTCGGCTCAATTAGATGGAGTTTTCTCAAGCAATGTGGAAGTATGTCTTCCAATGTCTTGAACATTGGTTCGTCAAAGGTCAAGTTACAAGAGTAGGAGGCTGTTAGCCTTTGCAGCTCGCAGTCTTTAGGTGATGCAAAGGAAGATGGCTGTTTTTCACTTCTGGTACATCGTTAGCATAAAGTTCCAAAGTATATCCGAACTAACAGTTAATTTGCGTTTATTGCGCATATTTCGCATTGAATTTCGACATGTAACCTAAAAATACTCCGGCGACTCAGGAATCTAGTAATATGTCAGATCGCTCTGATAGGCAATGCTCAGAGTACTCATGCATTCCAGGTTGTTATCTTAAATGGGCTATGCTTTCTACATCAACTACTTGAGTTCCTCAACTCAAGAGAGGAAAGTGGGAACTCTGGTAGTTATTTGAATCAAATGAAATGGTTTTAGAGAAAACATTACAAGAAAAGGTAGGTGAAGTTGCACTAACCGCCAATTGACGAAAATTGTACTTTTACTGGTATTGTTTGTGCTGGGAGGCAAATACGTATTCCGAATATAAAGTTCTCTTGCAAAAAACTTTGGAGGCACGGTTCTTTATGGCAAAAAACTTGGCGTCCCCATGGGAAATTGACTGACCTCATGCCAATAAAGTTAAATATATAAACTTTTAGATAAGGCATTTTGACACGAAATACCTACAGTGTTATTTGAAGCATTTCCAATGGCGACCTTGGCAAGCTAAATACAGAATTTTGCAGGACTGTAGAGTTTTAACTGTTAGAAAGTAGAAGGAATTTGCTATAGCACAGAAGACAAAATTCGAAAGTAAGATTCACAGTTTGGTTTTAAAACTAGAAATATATAGTACATTTAAATCAAAATTCACCCACTGGCTTTCTGTGCATGACCCACATCCATTAATATTTGCCTGACGGAGCCAAAAACCAAATTGATATCGGACCACCTTCAGGTGGACGATAAACCTACTTTATCCAGATGGTAGGACTGGGACAACTCCCCTACCCCTTTCCATGAATCACTTGGACAAGGCAGACAACCCAAAAACATCTAAAATGTCATGACAATGGAGACACAAATTTGGCTGAAAATACGAAGAACGAATTTATTTCCGTAGAGTGAGGTTTTTTTGGATTTAGAATAGAAGCTATGACTTACCTTCTGCACTGGCGACAGTGTTCAAGGCAGGATTAGTGTAGGAGGGTTGTTTCAGTGGTTGGCGAAAGGGATGATTTCGAGGAAGAAATCCTGATGCCAGAGGAATATCGAGATTCTTTAAAAGGAACGTGGAAAGAATTTCTTCTATTTCTGACCTTCCAGTGTAAAAAACCATATCACGGAAAATTACTGAATCCGATAGGTTTTCATAAAAAACGCAAAAAACTACTCCAGCTATTCCAAGACATTCTGCGTAAATTTGCTGAAGGGTGCCGGTCTCATTAGGGCACTATAGGCTAATATAATGAACCAACTGGAAAACAAGGGTTGGAGGACTACAAATATATTATTTGATGCAGCTAAGCCATGGGGAACCTAAAAAAATTGATGAACTGAATAAATTACAAAGGTTAATTATTAAGAAATCTAAAGATACAAAAATAAAACAGAGTAGGTTTAGGTTAACATCGATTCCTGCAACGAAAGACAAAATGAGGTCTGTAAAATTTTGCCTATGAAATTAGAGTAAATGAAATTGATGGGTAGGAAATTCAGCTAAAATGAATCAGGATTTCAACACCCGGAGTCCATTAAGAGAGCTTACCCATTTTGACACTAAAGCAATATAACAACAGTGAGATCAGAGAAACCCATAGATCGCGCATCCTAGATTAAGAATTCTTTCAAAAATGATAGACTAAACCACATAGTCCAGCTCTCGCCCTCTAGAAAATAGGCCTATTTGGGGATCCTAGAGATGGGTTTATTTCATCACATCCGGAGATTACTGAACTCGACTGTTGAGCAGCAAAATAGGCCGATCGACCTTTCACCGGACCGAGAATTTACCAGACGTCTGTCAGAAACATGGAGAGGTTAACACCTATCTCCCTTGTTCACTATCTTAATCGCACGTCCCTGATGTGAGGAGTAAAATAAAGTGCACCTATTTAAAGTGTTATGAATGAGAATGTAGGCATGGTTAATCAAATGTCTAACTTCAGCGAACCAATATGTTAGAGCAGTAAGCTTCACGTAAGCCGGACTTGAAATTCTAGAATCCGCTTCGACATACCCTTCATTACACCCTTTTCATAAAGCACAAATATACGTACATGTACTTCAACTTCAACTGACTCCACCAGGCAAAAACGCCCAAAAAGTCAAGACGAATGAAAAACACCGTTACGCTCCACAGTTGGCAGGAATTACCATCAAACCAAAGGACATTGCGGGCCACCCCAATGACCTCAAACAACTGGCTAATTGGGAATAATGAAATGCCAAAAGTGCAGCCTGACTCCTTATACATAGTAAAAACCTCACCAGCCCTCATTCAGAACCAATTCAATCAATGGCAATAGTATTGTTAGTACAAGGGAGAGCTACCAAAAAACCCATCGACATCACTACAATTTGAATTCAAAAAGGGATAGCACTCAACCGTGATGACCTCTAAAACCATTAACGACTAAAAAATTTTAAAGACCTAGGAGCTAATGAAGAATAATTAACTCCTAATCACAAGATTTACTACTCTCCTTAGCTTTCTTAGTACTCAGTACTTCCTTTCTCTCGTAAATTCGACTAATAACAACGATATTGCAAGGGTACTACCTGCCAGGTCGCACTATCCACGGGCAGCGTTGTGGTTGCAGCTGCAGACGTTGTTCTTGGAACCCTACTGAGTTGCATGGTATTCATCGCCGAAGCGAGACGCGGCGGTGGTGTCGGTGGAGCTTGGTCCGCATCATCCATCAACACCATCGAATGCGGCTGCTGTTGGTGTTGGTGGGAGAGGAGGCTCCAGTTGTTGTGCGTCTCTGGTAGGCAGTGCTGGTTGTGAAATATGGCTTGTGAGTGGCATTGTTGCTGTTGTCTAGGCACGGTGAAGGTGTACTCGTCCACTGGAAGGTCTGCAGCTGGCCGGAAAGGATGCTGCTCGAATATATCCTCTTTCTGGAAGGTCAATAAGAAAACGGCGTGATCAAAACAGACCTAAAATACTTTTGGCTACTAGGATTATAAAATTTCATATTAATAGTAATGATTCCGCTGAGTATTTTAGTGAATTATTGATGGTCACAACTGTCTTTAGTCGGAATTCAAACGATGTGTCTCATTTCTAAATACAATCCAGAAGTTTGGAATTATTATTGGTATTGGAGACACACTAAATAGACTTAACCTACTTCTGGATTTAAATAGAGCAGCTAAGACTAATTGAAAACAGCAAGAAAGACATCAGAAGCTGCTCACAAATCGTATAAAAACCGGTTTGGTTTAAAAATCTACGAATTTCCTTGAAATATGAAAGTTAAATCAAGGGTGAATTGCTCATATTGTGACGTAAACCGAAGTAGAGAACAATGGGGTTTAGTAATACAAGGGGGTGTTTAATTGGCGCCATCGGAAAATCCGACCGAAAATGACCAATCATGTACAAAGTACACGCGGCATATGGTATAAACAACTTGGCCTCAAGAGTTGACAATGCAAATTCACCGGTAAAGTTTAACAGATCATAAGTCCAAGGTAAGTCCAAATCGAAAATGGTTTGTCTGTTTATTACTTAAGTAGTGTGACTACCTTTTAAACGGATAATCCACATGAACTGCTTATCTGTGACGTAAAAAAAAAACGGTGAAAACGCATTAAGCTCCCTGAAAAGAGTAAGGGAAGTACCATTGAATTAGGCGTTGAATTTAATGGTGAAACAAGGGTCTCAAAAATTCAACTTCACAATAGTGCCTTCACCATACACTCACCCGGTTAATGTAAAGGTTAGTAACAAAAGGCAACCTGATTCAGCATTGTGAATTCGCATTAATAGTTGCCCATCAATCAACCCTGAATATGAGACTTCGCCAACTTAGAAATATTTTAGCAGACTGGGGAAAACAAAGTGTAAGTCGATGAACAAGTTCACATTCCAAATCTGATTTAACCACGAATTGTACCCTTTGAGCAAAAGAGTGCACTCAATGAAACTGGGATTAACTGGAGAGAACCGCTCCCTCTATTTGTCATAAATGAACATCTAGCCACAGCGTCCGCGGAGAAATGAAACAAGTGTCTTCATTGGATACGTCATGCTCTAACCAAAAGTAAAACGACAACCTTCTCAGCAGATATCATAGTCCTACCAACATATGAATTACAAAATACAGGCTTTTCACCTATAAGTGTAGCAACGATACGCCATTAGCAGAATTTCAAATACTGGGTTGGAGATTTGTAAAAATAATCGAGGACAAGCACTATTTACCGAGTAGGTTGACACATCATTAGCTGACATCGGCGCCTCCTTACACATCGCCTGAGGCTCCTTCTCCTCCGGTTCACTATCACTCGAATACGATGCGGAAGCTGATGCAGATGCCGAGTTGGTAGTAATCTCCGTGTCAGGCGAGGAAGAGACCACCCCCGTTACAGACACTGCCCCGGTTCCGTTCTTCAGTTTCGTCGGTGCCCCCACCGTTGCTCCCACCACTGCTATCGGCAATGGCGGCTGCAGCGATGGCAGGTGTGGCTTGGCGGAGGACAGACGTGGCATCGTGCCGGCTGTCACCACTGCATGCGGATTCGTTCGAGGAATCGCACGCGGTGTGAGCGCCAGTGCGGCCATCTCGGCGTTCACAGCCGTCGTGGATAGATTCTGCTGTTGTTGGTGTTGAGGAGTCACTACATTGCAGGACATGTCATAGAGGAGGTTGGCGAAGGCACTTTCCTGTGTTGCAATAACGGCGGCATTGCTGTCCACAGACGTGCGACCGTGCAATGGAGGCGGGGGTGGGGGTGCTGGAACCATGGAAACTATGCGACGATCGTAGGGAGTGGTGATGGATGGAGACATTTGCCGGTTAGAGACGGTACGCCGAGTTGTCAAGGGAGGATGAGGCTGGAAGACGGTAGTCGGGATACCACGGGCAGTGTTCCAGCGTGTTTGAGGCGTTTGTGTAGCCACCGATGATGCAAAAGCCTAAAAATACCCAAAAGACGTCAAAAAAAGTTGCCGCAAGGCTTGAAGAGCATTTGCGTGCTTAGTTTAGAATTCATAGTGGAAATTCTTTAGACAACGATTGACACAAATAAAGAAAAGCGATTATTTCAGATGGTAGAATGAAATTAAGTTACAGTAATTACTAAACTCATATACGAAAAAAGGTGGTACAACCGTTAGACAATAATTATTGCCTTAACGCAGAGAAAATAAGGCCAAAGAATGGAATATCGTTCAAAAATCAGCCAAATTTTCAAAATCATTTCATTCTATGGGAACTTGAAAATTAAAAACTTCACATTTAGAATGAAATTCTACTCAATTTCGACTAAAACAAGATGGTTCAACCACTTTATCATTGCTTTTTGCTCCGACATGCCAGTGAGTTCTAGTATGAGGGGAACAACAAAGTAGAACCAAACTATAAATATTTAAATCAGGTCTTGCAAAAAACCTCCGTGCCAACGCCGATGCTCCTACTTATAGAAACAGTACACAAGTGTAGGAAAATTCTGGCGCACCCGAACCAGCAGAACTCTCAAGACCTCCCCTGCCAAAAATTCGGACAGATTCCCAACTGAAGATTAACCTTCTGATGCTGAAAATATGTTGCCTCATCCTCCGCCTCCTCAGGTAGTGATCCTGCCGAGCGGAGCCATTCCGTAACCCGCTGGTTTGCTGTCACTGAGAGCGAACTGGCTGCTGCACATCGGGTCAACGACTGCTGCTGTAGCGACGCGTGACACGTGACAGCGGGAGCGGAGTGCGTAGGCTGTGAATTACGCCGACGGTGCGAGACGGGCCGGCCGGGACTTGGAGCAACGGGATGACGCGAGGATACGGGCGGTGTGGCGCTCACCGGTGAGGACATCTTGCGGTGATCCTGTGGAGTCATGTGAATGGAGTTGCGAGCACCACCGGTGGGGCAGAGCCTATATCGGTGCATCACACCAATGTCCTGTGATAGAAATACAAGGGGTAAGTGGGTTGTACGGCAAATTGGCGCCTCTTTGAGCAAGCATTTCATTTATATTTGAGCTAGCTTGCATATTAACAGAGATGCACGAGAAGATCACAAACTCTACTTGTCGATTTAAGTACCGAACCATTCTACCTACTGTTATCTGATAAATTATTTTAGGACTCGTTCATGCACAGTAAGAAAAAGCTAAAAATAATGGACCCAAAGATTCGACGTATCACGACAATAATACTTGAGTCAGTTCGACCAGAGACCACAGTTCTGTCCTTTAAGAAGTTACCTGAATGCTATCGAAACTTGCACGAGTGGATCTTCAGGCTTGAGTTTGTCCAGAAATTCACCTAGAAATCATAGGTCGCAAGATGGATACTCCCAAAGGAGTTAAAATCCTATCCTTTATCCGCGAACTAAACTACAATCTAAGATGAAATCTCAGAATACACAGTATTAACGTTGCCAGCAGGCATCATGAATGTAAAATCCCGAGTTTTTAATTCCTATCCGATGTCACAAGTATGCGACGTTTTCTTTAACAGTTTATGATAGATTAGTCGTTTCACCGGATCTTATCAAAGATTGATGAAGTTTAAAACAGTAAACTCGATGCACAACCTCCTTAATCCGAGGATAATAACATCTCTGAATCTTAAAGCACCAGCGAGTAATAGTGTCACAGTAGAAAAATAAAACATCTGCACTGAAGTGGTTGACTTGCCCTCTGAATGCGTTTTTGCGTGAAAAATACGTGCATAATCGTGGGTTAGTGTTAAGTTTAGAATCCAGGTGCTGCTATCTGCCCTCTCCCAAGCCACGAACCATAATGACTTTCGCAAAATAATCCCACCTTCACCATCTTTTTTAGATTGTTATATTCAGCTTAATTACTGACACGGTGAAGAGCGATTGGCTGTCATCCAGGGTTTTCGTAACAGGAATGAAAAACAATACGTTACCTAACGGAATATAAAAAAATCTAGGCATTTAATGCAACAAAACCAGCTTTTAGATTAAAAAAAATACCACTGAAATCCAACCAAACATCCGTGATAAATGATGATGAATGCTTTTACTCTCGTCTAGAGCGGTCAGACAGAATAGAAGCAAACACAAGATAAACCCAGAAATTGAAAAATTTTGGGGTCAAAGTTGGGGTTGAATGCTCAGCAAATCTGCGAGAACGCTAGATCAGATCAACTAGAACGTGGCAAACTCCGAACAACGACCAGCTTCGACAGTGATTAATTGTTTTACATTGTCCGATCACCTTCGTTCTCCATCGCGTAATAAAAAACATTATACTGACTCACACGCGCACACAGAGAAAAGAGGAAGAATCAAGAGGAAGCTTGTTCGCATGTTCTAGCACTGAATTCCGCCCAGACCACTGGAAGAAACACGGAAACGAGGAAGAAAGCTCTGTGGAGGTCAAATAACTTAAAGACAATACAGAGGCTGCAGTCCGACTATCGTCCAATAATGAAAATACCTTGTCCAAAGATAGACCGACATCTTCCAAGGGCGATAAGGCAAAACCACTAGCTCCCTCTTGCCCCCTACTGACACCAGTTAACACGTGCCCTCCTGATGTGGTCAAGAAAGTGGGGAATTATTTCCCGAAACGAAGAAAGGATTGAACAGTTCCCTCAACTCTACCGAATGTTGCCCAAGTCACCGCAATCCAGAAGAATGGCAACATTAGTCAACAAATTCCGATCACTTTTCAAGAGACAAATTAACGCTTTTGTTACCAGCAGCATACATACGTGACTGGTTGATTTTTCTATGTAAACCCAGCATCACAAACACACGGCAATGTTATGGTAGCTAGTTGCATCAAACTGTTTCCCAAACGGATTAGATGAGGTTGAAATAATTCAGATGGGATGCTTTCAAACCTGAGAAGAATGCCTTTCTTATTTCCCATGAGTAGTGGGATCGTTCAGTTTTGGTATTGTGAGTGTTGTTGTCACATTTGAGCAGCGAAACATCCAATCTGTGGTGATTTTTCTGAGACAGACTGCCAGCGAGCACATTGAGCTTACTTCGAACTACCAATTTTGGTATTACATTTCTTCGTACATAATTTGAACGTTTCATCTAGGTGCCAGAGCTAGTCCAAATTTTGTAGAAAGGCATGGGGGAAAAGAACTAAAAATAGGATTTCAGCACAATACCAGGGTTGCAAAATGTGGACGTTAGAAAAAAAAAGCAGTTTCCTATCCAATACATGTAAGGAAAAGGCACAATTTAATCACAGACAATGCCTACTGTTCAACATTCAGCTTACTTTGCGTTCGTCCACTCTCGTTTGATAAATACAAATTTTGTGAATATCATACATTACTGAAATAGAATGAGAAAGGCGTTTCGAATAGAAAGCCTCCAATATGACATTAATTCAGAGGTCAATATTCGATTAGGAATCCTTATAAAAGGGATACAAAATCTACCAGAAAGTAACAAGTTTGGTTCAAGGTAAAACAAACCATGCCAGGAGGAGTGGACAAGACATGCTCCACTCAATTCGCTTTTTACTTTCAGTAACAGCAGCAGCAGTAGGAGCAAACCGGGTAAAATCGTACAGGTAAGCAAACTTACGAGCGTTTTGGTGTTGCTTTTTGCGACCGACTAAAACGATGCATGCATGTTATTATGGGCGAATACCCTTTCACAAATGGTAGGACTTACAGCAAAATAAACAGTGAGACCAATTCTCGTTTGTGCATGCAAAATAATGCCAAGCATGACTGTGTTTTTGCTAGGTCTCCTGTTCTCAATCATTGGCCACGACATGAAAGTCAGCATAGTTTGGGGTGGGGCTAGATAAGCATCGTGTCTACCAGCACAGTTAATTCTGCCGCAATATAAGTGACGACCAGCATTGGCGAGGGGCACTGAGACCCGTGAATGCCGACTTCAGCTCAAAATAAGGGTATGGACGAAAAGCTAGGCATCCTATTTCACCTGAATTAACGCTTGGCTGTGTCGTAGTAAAGGTTATAACCTGCCACGTTATTTGGCATTTGAACCAAACAATTTCCTGCTTTCAAAATTAATAGTAAAATAGCAATACAAGCCACCTTTATGCAGATAAACATATTTTCTATGAAATTGCAATATTTCTACTTTGTAACCAAAGAGAATAAAGTCTTGACTTTACATACAATGAAAGAACTCGAAAATAAGCCAAATCCAAGTGTTTCTTTTTCTAGCCAATTTTGTTCACCACGCAAAACGGAATAAATTTTCTGCATAAAGGAATATAGGGCTGGAACCTCAACTTCCCATTACGTCTCTCGAAAGGGGGTAGGCAAAATCAGTTTGCATCAAAATATACCAAACCCCTGAGCGTTTCGTTGATTTACAACTGCAGACTGATTTCACACTGACGAACACGCTATACGATTTTCCAAGTGGAAAAGTAATGCACAATAAATATAAGAGTCCGCTGTCTTTGAGTTACTGTTGCCAGCATGCAAAAGCCTCAAACATTATGGGAATAGAACAAAAAAATTGCGCTTGGTGAGGATCCTCTGATTATCTACGCTACTTTCCAGTCCACGAAATGGGGTAATTAAGTTTCACCGGAATAGAGGCCTTTTGCCAGAATGCCGTCTAATCCTCAAATGACCTCTACTAAATGAGCCATCAAAAAATAATGAGGGAAATCACTAGTCAAAGCTCTACCAATATTTAAAAGTGCAAGTTTTCTTGGGTAATACAAGGCAGCAGTAAAACCCAAACCCTTGGTAAAACGTTTCCATCACATAAGTGTGCATTCTAGTCCGTAATGCAAAAAAAATGAACCAGATGTCATAAAATCCAAACTAACCTTGTCCATGGTGCCCCCCGAATTGGCAAACTGCTTGATCAACTGAAAAGATGAAAAAATAGCGAATATAAGAACCATGGGATATCAAATATAATAGAAGTAACTTCGGAATTAGCACTTAAACAGTATAAATTGGAAAAAAATATGAGTAGCATAATGAAAAAATATCCTCCAATAAATTTAATAGTCAAAATAACGGCAAAATTGGCAAAGAGGCATTCATATGCAGGGAAGTGTTTGAAACTGAGTGACATACGCTTAGTGCCATTGAAGAAGTAATCATGTGTAAGGAACGCGAAGACATGAAAGACGAACTACCTCGTCTCTCCATACAAAATAGTACCAATGTCGATCAATGTAAAAATGGCTTCGGTTAAAGGTAGTTAGATAATGTGAACAGAAGATGCCTTTCGATACATTACAGATTTAAATCAAGCTATCCTTTATATGCCCATTACAATGCTTCTACAGATATATAAAGATAAAACAGTTCTTGTGCATTGCGCAACACATATGCTTACTATCTGTGAATAGCCGTCACCAAAAAAAGTCATCCGCCTCAGTCAGCGTAATTCTTTCTAGCTCAGGCGGTCACCGCTATGTTAAAGTCAAGCCCCTCTCCCGATATTATCCATGTCATTGACCAAGCAGAGTTCAATGTACAAACTCTCCGGGGAGAGTTAAGCATGTGAGATTAGAGGAAGACTTTTACTACCAAGAGCCAAGAATAGGAGATTACACAAGTTATGTGACTTGGTAAGGATTAAATCAGTCTTTGGAAAAGAAAGCAAAGTACTAAGCACTTCGTGATGTTGTAAGCCAATGTGGGTAGTCCGACAGTAAATCAATTCAAATCTTGGGAGAACGGGTTACCAATCGCATAAAATGGATTAAACGTCTTTTAACTTAATGAGTTACTCAACTACTGAAAATAGAAGGCATCTAGGTAGGATTAAATAAACGACAGCTATAAATGAACTCTGTTCGGAGGAGAAAGCATCCATCAAATATCAGAGCGCAAAAGAATGAAAAGGATTAGAGAAGTAGAATTCCAATCAGTCCAGTTAGCTTGGCTAAACATGCAATGCAAGGATGTGATTCCGTTTCACGTGTTCGGGATGTAAACAATAGTAAAATGTGTGAGAAGAAAGGGGTTGAGTGCCACGACTTTATAATAGCATAAACAATGCGAAGTTATAAAAAAATCAGTTAAAATTTGAGATGTCATAATTATGAAATAGCGGATAAGTGACTTCGCGAATTCAAAATAAAATTAAAATTAGACACACTTGTAAATTTGAGAGCGGAATGACATCTCCAGAAGAGGGGCGATGCCACTCCGTTCTACCGGAGCGAACATTGTGGTAGTAGTGACGCTGAGTGTTCATGTCATAGAGTTCCCACCATTGTTCGCTTGCCAGTGGACGCCTAAATATTTCAGAAATAAAATAGTGTTATTCTATCGGACTATTGCAAAGTGACGATAGGAATTTATGTATGTCAAACCAAAATTGGTTTTGAAAAACGTTCAAGGCTGCACGGAGCAATGACAACGTATTCAGCAAAGAAATACAAGAGTTTTAAACATTCAAAAGGCAGCATAAAAAACTGGTATCAGTATAAGAGAAATGATGAAAGAACGGGCATTTCAAAAATCAGCAACTGACACTTGCGCATCTGGGGGTGAATCCCAACGAATTTCACCAGACTCCAAATTGGCGAAAATTACTTTTTGTGAAGACGGTTCCAACAATTCCACCCATTCCAAGCTATAAACCACGAAAAAACTAGACCTGAGGAGAAGATATGGTTGGATAGCACATACAAGTAACAACCGCAGTTATAATAAACAAAGGCAAGCTAAATAAACCCACTTCAAAGATATAGCATCAAACGAAAACCAGCTGCCATTATTGCCGCACAATCAATCGTTTACGGTTGAAAATCGTATTAACGTACAGATCTTGATTACTAGACTTGGAATCCATCACTTGCAAAATCGGTTTCCGGGATCATCAAAATAAGGACATGTCCAAATCGCAAAAAGGCAAAAATGCCTGACACGAGGATTCAAATCATCCACGAGGTCATCGGTGAATATCAATGATGAAGGAAAGCAAAATACAAGACGGGTTAGTGATAATTAAAACTCAAAATTTTATTTCATACAAACCAAAGATTTTACTGAATATTATAAAAACATTTGATTTTCTGCCGACAGACCCAAATGGGGTGCCGCAATTCATTTGTATGTATATTTCATAAGCAGTTGACGGAGTGGCATTTTCAAAATTTTTTAGGCGCATTTGCAATGCATTCTCTGTATGGCACAAAACCTTAGCATTAAAATGGGCCTGATGAATCACAGACTAATGTGCTGATAAAACTGGCGTTCTGCATGCAAAGTGTCCGGAACACTATGGAGAGATTTAAGGAGCCTCAAAGGCTTTTATTTTACTTTATAAAGTAGGCACTGTAGCGTCCCGAGACTCCCTGAAGACGAAAGAAGACAAAATACTTGGGCAGAATATATATATTCAGCACGGAGAAGGTGTCTGGGCTATTGGCATGGCCCAAAAGGCCAGCCCACCCAGCGAGGTACAAGGGGGCTAATTCGAAGTACAAAAGTGGCGCCCCACCAGAACCGAGGGATAAACCACTATCGTATTACAGCACATCTTTTATTTTGTACAAGTAAGCAAGTACTTTATAATTTTGCCCCATAATTTGCCAATTAATGCAAAATTTCTGTTGAATTAAATACCTTTAATCCGACTATAAGTGTAGCGTTATGAGACTCTCTGAAGACAAAAGAAGACAAAGTACTCGGGCAGAATATGTATTCAGTGCAGAGAAGGTGTCTGGGCTATTGGCATGGCCCAAAAGGCCAGCCCACTCAGCGGGGTACATGAGGGCTAATTCAAAGTACAAAAGTGGCGGCTCACCAATGCCGAGGGATAGACCACTATCATATTGCATAAGAGCAACTAATGGAACATCTGCAATGAACTCTGCTGTGTATCGCCTAATTTATATGCTTGTTGAACTCTGTACATCGAATCAGGAACTAGTGGATTAGAAGCGCGTGGGTATCAATAAGATGAGCAAAATGTCTTATACAAAAAAATACAAAATCAAAAGTCATGTGTTCTTTTTTGGAACCTAGTTTTCTACGTAGCCTCCCCATTACTGCTACTATCTAACGTGCACCGTTTTACCAACAGACCTTCGCTACAAATGTCTAGCGCAATTTTTTAGGCGAAAGAAAAGGCATAACGCTTGAGGGTTATTGTTTTTTTCTGGTTGCACGAAGTTGTGTGTTTAAATTTATCAGTTGAATCAAAAATGGGAAATCGCTTTCACCGATCAGCTGTTCCATCCTATCGTGGTGGTGGGAATAACTGGACGTCACCCAGAATAGGTAAATTCTTAAGCAAGACACAGGTCTTATGTGTGTTTCGCAGTTCTAATGCCACTATCCAACGCTGTCACCATGTAGAGCTTCTTCATCATATTTCCTCTTTTGTGAAATGTGCTTGAAGTCTCCCTGTTATATTTGAAACCCACAAGTATTTGTGCGCTCTGGTTTTCTTCGCTTTAAATATTATTTTTTTGCTGCCATGAGTGATAAAATGTTTTTGGAATAGGGCTTGAAACTACTGGCTTTACCCCATCGATGTTGCTTTATACCCTCTGTTATGTCCGCCGTATTTTCTGAGGAATTGTAGGGTTAAAAAGACTGCAGGATCTGCCTAAATGATTTAAATGTCTGGTATTTTATAATGTAATACTTTTAACACGTTTACTCTAGGAATCGGGGCTGCTTCGTTTTCTTACCCTTACGGTATTTTCCACTTCATTTCATGATCAACGCCTCTAATTTATCACTTCTTTGTTTTGGTGTTGTGTACTTTTTAATCTTCGTGATATTGGTATCATTATATATCTCGCCGGGGAAGTATATTTGTTTCTACAGCTTCTTAATATGACTAGCTAAGTGATCTGATTTTGAAGATACTTGATGCCTATGCATATGGCAAGGATAAAACTTCTAGTCTTTCCGTCATCCAAAGTTACACATTTATTGGCAGATTAGTCTGTGTGTATGATGTTATTGCGTGGAATAAGTCTCCATCTGTTAGTCATCAGCATCGCAAGAATTGCTTCACCGACCTTCATTTTGAAGGTTTCCCTACAATGCAGCGTTGTTCACCATTTAGCCGTTCGCATATTAGCCAGCCCAACTAAATTATATTTGATGGCTTTCTGGCAAGGCTGCGGCTTTAAGAAATGAAACATTTCTATCATCCGTTGATATCCATTGGCTTCTCGAGGTTTGCTCCGTATCAAGACTTGTGGTTGTTTCTGAAATCTTGTAACAAACTGATCTACTTGATGAAAGCCAGATACCAATGCAAATGGTGACGTAGTTGCTAAGGCTATAATGTTTACCCTTCAACCATTCCATACCAATATCTCAAGATTCGTCTAATTGGCTTATTCTGATGCTTGGAGCCTCCCATTTGGTTCAGCTGTTGGTAAAAACCAGCCACTGAAACGCGGCACAACACGGTGGTGCAGCTCCCAGCCCATCTACCATTCTCAGCTAAAGCAGAAACGTGATGAGTTCTGGGACACCGCACCGGCTTTTGAGGGACGTCAAGAGATTTGGGACGCCCTGCGCTCCGCCGCGGAGGCTGCGGAACGTGGTGACCACGAGATGGCTCAGGCCATCATCGACAGCGCCAACATAATTCTCCCCACTGGTACGTTTATGCATTTTCTACTTCTACTCATGGTGGTTTGATCGGAATCTCAAAAGACAACGCCAAGTACAGCTTTTCCTTCCCTTCTTTAACAACTTTTTTCGAAAATAAGTGCCTCCCCAACTCTCTCTGACCAGGTACCGATCACATTAGCAAAAACATATCTTGTGCCCTTTAACTGCTACATTAATCACTTGCTAATATCTACCTTTTCTGACAAATACATGTAACAAAAGTAAGTTCGCTATGCTGCAGGGAAGCAGTGCCTATATCTTCCAATCTTGTGGCGTATTCTTCTGCTTTCTTACTCCTTATCAACCGACCACCTCTGGAAAGTTGGAGACTTGATTCGCAATTTTTGCCCCACATCTTTTATTCATCCTTAGTCATGCCAAAATGTTTTAGCATATTATTTCCAGTGTTCTCTTTTTAGTTCCTAACCATAATCCTCAACTATAACAGTTTCTTCATCTTTACTAATCCATTAGATAACCAAAGAGGTTTGTGTAATTTTCCGTATTGTTCGCTGCAATTGCCTTTAGCTAGTAGGAAGTCATAAAGCACCCTTATTCATATCGTTATTATTAGGCACACATGTTCACCAATCCGCCATTACTCTCTACTGTGCCATACGATTTTCCTCATATCGCAAACTTTCGATCGAACATGATGTTACTTGGATTTAGCTTGATTCAAAAGCTGTAGAAACTTCTTGTCGGGTTTTTTTGAGTTGCATTTGGAAAAGGTGCGGTAGCAGAAAGCACCGCCCAAAAACAAATAGTATAAACAGTTTGAGTGATTTTAGTGAAAGCTAAGAAGCTTAGTAAATGGGCGTTACATACAACGAGTTAACAAAGG